CCGTGTCAGTGTTGCCTAGCAGACGGGCATGCAGGATCCTGTGTCCTGGGGCCTCTAGGTGATGGAAGAGTTTTTCGGGGCTAGACCCCGGTTTGATGTCGTGGACTACCCCATTGTTGGAGTTGGCCGGGGAGGCCACGTACAGTCGGCACGGAATGAAATGCGAACAGTGGGTGCATGGTTTTCGCTAGATGCTGCACCACCTGAACCAGATGGGAGCTGCAAGAAGATGGCTCCTCCTTCGATGTGTTAGACTCTTGCTCAGTGCATCCAAACCTTCGGTGTTGCGTCTCTAGGTGACTCGGCGTGGGTCGAAAACCATGCGCTCCTTGTTCGCGTTTCATTCCGTGCCGACTGTACGTGTATGTTGGGTAGTCCTTCCCGCCAAGTCGTAGGTGATGGATCTGGGCGATGGCTTGAACGACTTCTATGTGGGCCGTGCTTACTATCACGAAGTTGCGGTCGTGATTGAGTTGGAGTTTGGTTGCAGCGTGTAGTTCCTCGATGGTGATCTTAGCCTCCGTGCTGATGTGTTGGGCAACCCGGTACGGTTTCCAATTGGAGAGGTTGAGGCCGTCTCGCGGACGCATGACGACTTTGAATTCTCCCCTCGGCAGCGGGGGTAGGCGCTGAGAGAGGTTTTTTTCTGTGGACGGGGTATCGATGTGCCGGGCTGTATGGGATTGCCGGTGGTGAGATCCACTTCAGCGGCTGGAATTGCTCTCAACTTGTGCCCGCGGTAGAAGGCTGTGAACCAGCCGTCAGGTGGTATTCACTGGGCCTGTAGGTTCGGTTTTGCCAGGGAGCGCCACCGTCGATCCGCCATCTTCGAGGTCGCGGTTTGACGTTTGACTGGCTTGGGTACGCGGTCGTCCGTTGGTAGTGTGTGCTAATTTCATATCTATGAAGAAGCTTCGTTGAACTAAAAATAGAAAACAGTGTATCTCGGGGGTGGACCGTTTCAATTCATTTGTTGCCGCCGAGTACTGTGCGTAAAGGCTGAACCGCATGTAAACAATTCAGCGAGCGACGAGACGAGACAAGCGACGACGACCCGCTTCGCCGTCGCTCGGTCACTTGCGCGACGAGGCAAACCACATGAAAGCGACGGGGGCAAGCGACCAAGACGATGAGCGACGATTTCTACAAATCTAAAAACCGAACGACGCGACGAGCGACCGTGAGAAATCTCCGCCGCTCCTCGCCGACTCCCGTCGCTGTCGCCGTCGGTCGCTTACATGCGGTTCACCCTTCGCTGTCGCTCGTCGCTTTCATACGGCTTGCCTCGTCGCGCGAGTCACCGAACGACAGCGAAGCGGGTCGCCGCCGCTTGTCTCGTCGCTCGCCAAATCGGTTGCATGCGGTTTTCAAATCGTTCGGGCTAATGAAAACTGCAGCGCATTTTCCATTAGCGGCGCACTCGGTGAGCCGCACGGTATGTTTCTGCACAGGAACGAACACCGAAGGCACGACGTACGACACGGAGGCGATGGAGCAACACGGTTACACGGCCGTAGTGCAGAAAATCCGCTACAGAAAAAACAATATGGAAACTAGCAAAACAAAACAGTAATCACACCGTGCTACAAAAGCCCCGAAGTAGAAAGATCACAGTTCTTGCAAAAGAGTTAGAGCAGAGGGCACGGCGCGCGACACGGAGCGCTGCATGGAGCCGATGGAGCAACACGGCCGCGGTGGAAAAGTCCGTTAGCGACAGAAACGAACTGAAACAGACAGAAAAAATATTCCTACGGCGCTTCAAAAGCACCAAAGTCTAAGAATAACCCGCAGTTTCGGCCAAAAAGACCCTTTAAAGTTGTAAAATGCTGCTAACCTATGTTGAAAGGTCCGGCCAGACGGCACCGGACCCCTACGTGAGATAAAACAAGACCTCGAAGATGGCGACCGTGGTGGCCGACGCTAGCGCACCTAGCGAGTGACGTCAAGTGAATATCACCATCTCCTGCCCTGGTAGTTTCCATGACAGTTAGGGAGGTTTCTGGCGTTGACGAAGCCATCCTGGTTGTAGTTCAGGCCGGGACGCTCGCTGCGGCGCTGCGAAAATGGAGCGCTGCCGGCGTGGAGGTGGCTCTCATTCCAAGAGCTCTGAGCTTCGGTGGGCTCAGTGCGGCGAGGCCACACTCGGAGATGAAGAACGTCCAAAAAGTAGGTTTCCGGGCCGCTCACTTGGTCGATGATGGTATTGGCAGGACCGGTACGGTGAGAGGCGTTAATTTATCTTATCTCAAGAGAGACCTATGAGATGGACCGGGTTACTGAGAGAAAAACTCGCGGGGGTCCACGTGGGACTTTTCCGCTGGCTCCGACCCAAGGATCGCGTTTCGTTCTCCGGGGTTCGCGGGGTCCGGAGGACGACCGCTCTCTTCGGAGGTTCGCAGCAGACTCCTAGCTTTCGAGAGGCCTTTATGAGCCCCTCGCTCGTCGCAAGCGCCTGTGTGACCATCTCTTTTTTTTTTTTTTTTTTCTTTTTGCGACGCGATCTGGTCGGATAGCGCGGCTGCTTTACATCGCCGGTGTGAATGCGCCTTTAGACACAATGTCATCCTCTCCTGCTCGGATGGTAAAAATTTGCAGTATTTTTTAAATTAAAAATAAACAAGTGACAAGTACCAATTTCTTTTTGTTGTTGTTGACTCGATAGCAGCTTCAAAAAAATTTAAATAACTTTCAGAATATATATTTTAAGAGCAGCAAGGATTTAGAGTTAGTACAACTGTAATCTTCCTAAGTTTGGCATCCGGCGTCGAAGGGTTTCATAAGACAAAGTATAATTAAACGTCCACTTATTAAATGAAATTGTGTTCAATAGAAGTTTTGAATTAAATGCCCATAGTCGTGTCAAACAAGCGAATAAATAAAATGGCGTCATAAAAAGTGGAAATGAGTTGCAGAGATACATACAGAATGCATGCCACCTGTACTAAACAATTGAGCAATAAAATAGTAAGATGCCGTCAGTGTACCGAGACCTTTATTGTCTTTGCTAAAATAATCAGCCAACATTCACAAACACCCCAACTTCGCTTTTGCTGATTTGACTGTACATTCAGATTTACATTGCGCCGGTAATTTCCATCAGCATTTGTACAGTGTCACGGGAATTAATTTATTGCAAAATGTCACTACATAAGAAACAGCAATCAACAATAGTGCATCATGTAACAGTGTAAACAGGAGCACAGTCATGATAACACAAAAACAGCCGTTCCAAAAAAGGGTTTACTTTTTCATCCAGGAAGTTGGAATGTATGGAGCCATCGACACATGATACCGCTTGCTGATCAGAAATTTAATGGACAAAGAAAGCTGCTCGGGTGGTATCTTTTAAAACGTATTTACAGTGTTTCTTCCAAGAGTAAAAATGTGAGTACAATAAGCTCATTTACATGCAGTACAGAGTAATGCAGTCAGAGCACATAAATACATAGAAGTATACACACACAATTCATACTTTTCATAATGAAGCAGTATGTTTCAAGTCAGATGCCTTAAAACACGATTGGAGATCTACACGCTTTGGTGCATCAACTCTACACATTGTGACAATGTCAGCACCATGTGAAAACAACATGTACCATCAATGAGCGTGATCGAGCGATGACATTTACAGGCTTTTTATTTTACAACTGTGATTTTCACCATTAATTTAGTTTGACAAGTGAAGACTTCACATTGAGACAACAGGAGCTTTAGGAAAGCTGAAGCAGAATCAATTTCCAGAGGTTAAAGGAGCTGTGCAACGATTTTAACGTTGAAAGAATTGGCATTTTCTGCTTTTGATATTGTTAACTGTGTCACAAATGGCAGAAAACACACCTCCTTTCATCGCAATGTTGCGTTTCCGCCGCGTAATAGCGAGGCAAAACTTGGGATATTTCCCGACCTGCAGCCACGAGCGGCGGCCATGAGAAACAAGCGGCGTGACGTCACTTGGGTCGTTGTAAGAAAGATAGCAAGTTGTGCGAATACCTGCTCGATAAAAGGTAACTCTTTTTACAAATCTTGTCGTTCCAACGTATATATAAATGCGTCAACACCCTGGTATCATCGACAACTTTTATTATACGGAGTTTTAGTGGCGCCATCTATCCTAGGTCCACAAAACCGCGAACAGCCGCCAGAAGCCGGAGGGGGAGGGGAACAGCGCCGGACGGGCAAGGACGGGTGGTCACGCAGTCGGCAGCGGATGAGTTCTCGCTGCTCGCTGATGGCTCTAAAGAGAGAACTTTTCCGGAACTCCGCGCCTACTCTAGTGACGTCACTGTGCACGTGACCCGGAAGACGATGCACGAGTTGAGAGGCGGCAAAAACCTGGATCTTTTTCATTTTTTTAAGTAAAAACTAGGGTATCCAGGCAAAATCTGTTTTCTGTAGTTCACTGCAGAAGTTCACTGCATCAACTTCCACAATTATTTAAGCAAAGCCCTAAAATTGTTGCACAGCTCCTTTAAATAAGCACAGTGAAGCAGTCCCAACTAGCTATGTCAGGGATTTGTGGCGAGCAACACATCAGGTGCAACCGACCATTTAGCTCAAGCAGATAACACAAAAAGTGAGCAGTCAATCAGTTATGATGACTAGATACTGAGGATCTATCAAGTGTTAGCAAAATTTAACTGAATCCTGACTTTGAGGGTTGCCCTAGATTCCAAAGTTACCCGTTAAGCTACCGCCCCCCCCCCCCACCCCCCTCTAAAAAAAAGTAACACAACATTTTTGCCATGCCACAGAATTTCAGCACATCCTCAATGTTAATATCGTCTCAAGTTTGGAAAAAAAGCTTACATGTATGGCGTGAATATTCACCGGTTAATTCGTCAGTACTTCAACAAATGCATGTGAGAAAAGTACACTTGCACTCATTCAAAACATTGCTCACATTCCACACATTTATCTTACAAACACATTGGCTAAACAATGCAATGTTCCACAAATTGCATACACCAATATTTATAAACAGAAATAACCACAGTGCACCATCTTGCGTCCCTCAAAACCATGTGCCGCACAAAGGAAAAAAAAAAAAAAAAACTGGGACAGAAAAAAAGCATGTTGCTTTTGTAGCCACTGAATTACTGCTTTGTTAGGCAGCCGTGTTCCAAAAAAAAAAGCATTAATAGTCAGTTATTTGTTTTTCGTAAAAAAAAAAAGCCATCATCTACTACATATCACAATTTTAACATAAAATGATACAACACTTCTCCAAGATATAGACAGATGCTATCAATGACTTAAGTTCCTGCACACAAAAGCAATGTAATATACATGGGTATGTTACCTCTCGTAGGCCTTTTGCGAAATTACTCGGGTACCGGGGAGTATGCTGTCAGCATAGTTATATGCAGCGCACATGCCGACATCTGCAGCAGCAACTGTTCTAAAGCAAAAACGTGAATGTAGCACTTTGCATGTGCAATCATGAACCGCCCATATTGAGATTTTTTTTAAATATATTGTATTGATAAGTTGAGCAGGTCCGGCCAGTTCACGTACCTACATTGTAAGCATTGTCCTTGGTGTCTGGATAATTTAACAAAAGATCGGAGTTTTCATGCTACTGCAAAAAAAAGCAAGAATATCTTTTTTTTTTTTAAGTTTTGCTTTAAGACCCGACCCGACCCGACCCGACCCCCCCCCCCCCCCCCCCCCCCCCCCGAGACTAAGGAAAATATGAAGGACAACACAACACACAGAGTGTCTGCGTGTTGTTCTCCTTCGTCTTTTCCCCAGTCTTGGGGGTTAGTTTTAAATTATGTTAAACCTTCACCCGCTCATTTGCACCCTAACCTTTTATAAGGATATCTGTCACACATATTTAGCATGTTCCACAAAAGCATATTTCAGAGGCAAATGTCAAGCACATGCAACGTGCCTGTGGCAACTATTTTGCCAGAACAAAAGCGGTAGACAGTGAGGATAATATCGGAGGAGTCAACTCGTTAGTTTGCTGCCTCTGGTGCAGTGAAAAAGCTGCCACAGCATGCTACAGATACAAGTCGCACAATTATCCTGTCATTGTATGCCCCCTGAATGATCTGCATTAAATTGTAAAATGTTGAGTCAGCAAAAGATGCTTAAAAACAAACTGACTGTTTAATAAAGTCACCATTCAAAGCTACCCCTGTATCAAGCTCTCACATACTTTTGTATGCCATGCAATCAATGGCTCAAAGTTTCCTTCCATACAAAAAAAAAAGGTATTATTGTGTATAAAAATAAAATCAGCTGACAAGTATAACGTGTAGGCAAGCTAAGCAACGGGAGAAAAGCACAACGAGAAAAAAGCAGAGCTCTAGTAAGGACAAACCAGAAATGTGCAAGTTCAGAACTGCTACGCTGTTCTATAATGGTTTCATCCTGCAACACACTGTTCCTCAAGGTAAAGGCAGATTTTCTTGATGTTAAACAAAAATCCCAGATGTTTGTCTTTCACCTAACCTTTCAATACCATTTTAGTTTTGACCAGTTATAAAAAAACTTTCGGAATCTTGCATTTGACATCAGAGAAGTATGAGTAGTTCTAACAGAAGTGTGTAGACAAATGGTTAAGAACCCATATACTTTCTATGGTGCTTCTCAAAAAAGTCTATGGCTAGACATTTGTGGGGTAGAATTAAATTGCCTCAACAGTGCTATGCATGGAAATACTTTTTGTTTCCTGTATGTATCTCTGAAGGAAATTGGCTCTACGTGGGCCCTAAAATACTGTAAGGTGCAGTTTTGTTCACACATGTTTGCATCCTGATATCATCAATATAAGAAGGTCAAGGCAACCTACTGATTGCATATTTTCTTCACCTTTAAAAAGGAAGATGTCTGTATTTAGAATCCACTTAATAAAACCACGTTTTCTCCCTGATTAAATGCACACAAATCAAAAGCTTAAAGCCTTTGGTTCTCGAAATGAGAACACTTGTCTCACACGCGAGGCACACACTCTACAAGGAAACAATTACACTAAAATAGTATTCCCTCTCAAAGAAGGTTCACTGTTTGATTGTTAGTATGTTCTTTCTTCCCAGACTGCTGAGCAAACAGGCCAACTTTTCAGTCAACCCTTGTAGAGAATGTGAGCTTTTGAACCCCCGATACCCAAATGCTGAACAACCCACAGTACATTGAATCAATTTAGTTTGGAGTGCAAAGGCATCCAGGTCTCACAAAACAGTTATCACTGAAACACTGAAAAGCGGCTGATCGATGATTCCAGCCGAGAAAAGTTAATTATTGAAGAAATAGTCAGTATGACATATGTGAGACGAAGAAAACTAGAGGTAGGTAAGTCCCATGCTCATCTATAAATTGTGCTCGTTCAGTTTGCTATATCAATGAGGCACAAACGAGAAATATACAAAAGATATCAAAGCAATCTGTAGTACCAGCCTGAAGAAGTAAACTATGGCTTGTGTCCACTCCCCAGAATACTTTGAAGTTAAAAAAACAAAAAAAAACAGCAAGAGCAATCGGAATTCAGGATGCTCAGTGCTCGTGCATCGGGAAGGTGAGTGGCGGTATGACGTTAGAGAAAGACGGCGCGTGCGAGTGGTGACCCGACGGTACAAAGTTGTTGTGCGGAGCTGGTGGAGGAGGAGGAGGCAGGATGTGGTTGAATGAGTTGTGAAGCATGCGACTTGGTGGGTAAAAGTGCGCGGACGACCCCCGACTCTGTTCGGCCGAACCGGCACCGATGTCTGGAAAAATGTTGCTCAGGTTGAAGTTGGGCACGTGATGCGACGGCGTAACTGCACAGTTCGCGTAGTGACCCTGCACGGCCGACGTGGTCGTCGAGGTGGGGTTGGGGATCGACGAGGATGAGCTCTGCTGACTGCTCCTCTGCAGTGGGCTGTGATGATGCGAGAAGGAAGGAGGTGCCAATGAGTGAGGTGCCGAAGGGGGAGGCGGCCCGGGAGCATTCAGGTTGAGGTTGATGCTGTTTTGAGACTGTGGCCTGAAGAGGGGATTGTACGCCACGCTGCTCGAGTTGGTGCTGCACTCTGGTTCTGCGTTGCTGCGGACCGCTTTATGATGCTGCTGATGCTGCCAGGATGACGAGGAGTGAGGTAGCTTTTGTGTGGTCACGGGCGCCGCGGCAACTCCGGCCGGAGGTGGTGGCAGCTGCAGCAATGCGTGATTCTGAGATTCGGTTCTCATGAAATCCGGAAAGTAAGGGATGGCGGTGACGGAATTGTGCGAGGAACTGGACGCTTTGTTCTTTTTTGATTTAGACTTGGGATTCTGCTTTTCGGTGGTATCGGAGCAATGCGGTTCCGAAGTCGGGAGCATCGATGACTTTTCTCTGCGCGGCTGTTTTTCGGCGTCGGCCGTGGGCAGGGACAGCGGAGCATTGCAGATCGAGGTGCTCGTCGTTGCAAATGGGCCGGGTATCAGGTTATTCACGAGATGGGGCGCCTGAGCACAGTGCTGCGAGAGGTTGCCAAAGACGGGCGGGGGAGGGGCCAGAGGCCCCGAGCATTGGGACCCAAACTCCGAGGCAAGAGGAGGCAGGATCGGAGCTCCCGAAGAACTCGGAAACAGGCACCCCTGCTGCTGCGAGGTGGGCAGGGGCCCCTGCATCCCGAAGTGAGCCTGCCTCGGGGACGATGACTGCAGGCAGCTCGAGGGAGCGCGACTCAGGGGCGGAACTTCGGGACGGGACGAGCAGGCGTTGAAACTAGGACTACTGTGTCCAAGTGTAAAGTTGGGGTACGGGTAGTTTTGGTGCTGAAAGACGTTTTGGCTTGCACTGGCGTCCGGCTGCAGGTGATGGCCGTGCGTGGTAGAATGCGAAGTGGAAGGTGCAGCATGCAACGACGAGGTTGTATGGAGACTGGGGAAGTCATCTTTGCCGTGATGGTAGGAATGGAGCGGGTACCTGGCTGGGCTGCCGGCCAGGTTTTGCTGCACGTGGTAGCTACTGTTCACGGCCGCGGGTCCGCCCGACGCTTGCAGAGCGTGGGTTCGGTTGTCGGCAATTGATATGCTGGGATTCAGCTGATGGCTCTGCTGCGTCGTGCTGGCTGGCACCTGCCTTTGGTGTGGGTGGTTACTGCTCTGCAACTGGCCGCTCATCTGGGACTGGGTGTAGGGTAGCCGATTCCCAAAGCCGGGATGGTTAGTAAAACTGGCCGCCTCCTTAGAGCCTCCCAGGGCGTCCTTTTTGGAGTTGCTTGCCTGCGACTGGATCAGGCTCTCAGCCGAGTAGGATATCTGAGGGCGGGATGACTGGCGGCACGACGTCATCTGAGTGGTTGGTAGCTGGGTGCAGGGAGGGGCCATGCGGTACGAGGACGGGAGGAAGTTCTGCGTCCCGATCAGGGCTTCGGCCGAATAGCACGACAGGGAGGTGCTGTGGCTGCCCAGCACGCCGCCGCTGGTGCTGAAGCTCCGGGCTCCGGCCATGTACTGGTCAGGTCGAGGGAAGCAGGTCGTCGCCATGTACGAATTGATGGACGTCGGAAACTGGCTCGGCAGACTCTTGTTGGGCGTTGCGGAGCGTCCCGAATCGCGGGCCATCCTGCAAGGGGAAGGCGGTGGTTTGCCACTGCCGATTGGCGGAGGAAGAGGATCGGGCTCCTTGGGAGCGGCAAATCCCTGAGCAGAGGAAAACCCGGGCAGCACAGTGTGCGAGTTCTGAACTTGTGTGGGAGGGAACTGTAGACTCCTGGACTGCATTGTGAACGTGGGCGGTGCACTTGAAACAAAACTGTGGCACGATGTCTCCGTGAGCAACTTTGCCGAAGGTAAATTCTGCAGTTGCGGCGAACGGGAGGCATGGTGGCAGTCTTGCTTGCTGCCACTGTTTCCCATGGCATGCAGGTCTCCTGACCGCGGGCCCGGATATGCATCTGACGTGACGTAGGCGTAAGTGTTTACACTCTCTGTGGAATCTTTTTTTTTGCTCAGACTAGAACTGACTGATGCCTGTGCGGTGCTCACTGACAGTGATGGTACAAGAGGAGTTATGGAAAATGAAGGAAGGCTGCTGGAGCTCTCCACATTCTTGTTCGTTCCATTATTTCCCAATTCCTGTTCCAGCTGATCACCCGGAGAAAGAGAGGGGAACGAAAGTCCAGGGTTCGAGTTGCTGTTAAGTGAACCATGCCCGTCATCCTCTGGAATACTCAGGATAAGTGGCAACTCTTGATCAGACGTCAAGCTGTCTGTACTTGAAACAAATGCTTTGCTATTGTCCTCACTGCCCTTGCTGCTTGGTGGAGTCAACTGGCAGAGAATTGAGGCTGCACAGTCGGGCATCTTGTTTGCATTATCAGGCATAGTGTTACTGCCATTATTTGCAGCAACAGAGACATAGCTTTCAGTAAACGTTGTTGAACTAACACTTGGAGATATGTCAATGTTCTCCTCCATGACAATGGAGTGTAAACTCAGACTCGATAACTCATTGCGATCTGTTGTTTCAATAGAGTCTTCTGCCTCCTTGGCTGAAGTCCTCTGCACGTTGCTGGTTGCCTGGCCAGGCGATGAAGTTTCTGCATCCATCTGGACAGAGGACATGCTGCTTTGAAAGGTTTCCTCTGCCTCAGAATCCTTGTCAACAGTCGTTTGAAGAGCTTCATTGCTGCACACTGCTTCCACCGCAATAGATGCTTCAGAACGACGGCTGTCTGGCAACTGGCCAGAGCCTGTGTCCGACGAAGCCGCAGAGACAACCGTCACGAGCGTGTCGCTCCTCTCCGTGACTCCTGTAGATACCGAAGTCTGAAGGGCTAAAGTTGCCGACTCAAGAGTGGAGGCACTGTTGCTGTTCGATCGGCTGACAGAAATATCTTGAGGGGGCAACTGTGCAAGGGCGCTCGAGAAGATAGACTCTGTTGCCTGTGCCAGGATGTCTGTTGCAAGGGGCGGTGTTCCTTTATTGCTGGTACTGCTCACACTTTCCAGTCCCTGACTGGGGGCTGTGGCGATGGCAGAGGAGCAGGAAGTAGTGCTCGCAACATTTTCCTCGTCTGACCTTGCAACTTCTATGCGTGCCTTCTTTGCAGCCACCTCGAGGCACGGTCTTGCAGCCTTCTTGCTCCCTTTCCGTGGACACGATGGCTTGGTCTGACTAGAGTCTGGCATCTGGGATGTCGGCTTGGGCCTAATCGTGCAAAGGGCCTGTTTAGACGCCGAGTGGATACATGTCGCTTTCCCTTTAGAACTGTCTGGCAGAGTCTTGCCCTTTGATGAAGATGATGACGAGTGCTGAGGGCAAACATTTTGCTGCTTCTTGCAGCAGCTCTGCTGGGACGATGTGCTAGCCGTAGTGGTGTTGCATGCGGGAACAGTGACGGAAGAGGTCTTGATCTGTACGGCTTGAGTGACAGATGCTTGCTCCCTGCAGACAACACTCCGGCTAGTCTCGCACACGATCGTCTTTCCGCGAGCAGCCAAAGAACTGCAAGAGTTTGTGCATGCAACATTGGGCATCACCTGACCATTCATAAGATGCGGCGGCATAGGTGCCCCTACAACCTGCGGCTGAGACACAACAGGAATAATTTGCCCAGAGGGGAGGAGAAATGCAGACGGTACTTGAGAGGGTGCCGCGTTCTGGCCCGCGATCATGGCCGCCCCTCCTCCGTAGGACAGAATGGGCTGGTTCATCATCATGCCGGTACCCGAGAGGAATGTCGCATTCTGCATGGGCGGGACACCACACAGCTTGGTCTCCTTCAGCTTAGGGTCGCATTGCACCAGGCCTCCCGCCACGAAGTCCTCCATCCCTTGCCCCGCTGTTGCCAGCTGAACGTGCGCTCCGCCCAACATTTCTGACCCGGGGAAAGAGACCACTGAGCCGGGAGCGCGTGCCATGGTGTGCCCCTGTGGGTTAAGGATGATGGAGGTATTCTGGAAGGTGACAACATTCTGCAGCACGGGCACTCCCTGGTCGTTGATGACAAGAATCGGCTGAGACATGACGCCGGCTGCCGCGGCCGACGGAGTCATGGCCGCCAACGGTTGCTGCTGGAACACCGTCACGGCCGAAGGCTGTGCGGTGGACATGACGGGAGCCGAAGGAAGTGCTTGTGTTACCAGTGTGCAGCCGGGTGCACTGTCGCGCATGACGCCAAGTTGGGTAGCTGATACATTACTTTGCCGCTGCGTCTGCTGCTCCGTGATGTCTGCTCGTGATGATGGTGGTGGCGGAGTGTTGTGGTGCTGGCAGGACTGAAGCGCAGTCTTCACCTCTGTGCAGGTAACTAAGGCACGTTGCTTTTCCGGTGAGTGCTTCAGAGAATACTTTTTGGGCTTGTGGTCCCAGATCTCTTCGGGAGTGCCGTTAAGAGGAATACCGGCCGTCGTCAGAAGCCGGGCATAGTTGGCGTTCAGGTCTTCCAGCTCCCGTATCTGCTTCCTGAGCCTTGCAAAGATGGTGGCTGTTAAAAAGAAGAGGACGCTGTGATTAGTTAAATTCAGGTTTTAAACCAAGACTGCTCCTCACACTTTCGTTTGTTGGGATGTGGCATTAGCACCACTTGCTCCATGAAGGGGCCTTTCACACCACAAAATTAACTTTTCAAAGTTTTCAAATGACAGAGAAGACCTATGTCACCAATCTAAAATATACAACAAAAAATGCACTTCTGGGAAAAAAAAGTTAATGTGTCATTTACTTTTGCATGAGAGCAGAAAATCTTATGCTGCCCCTGAAAGTGTTACAAATTCTACATTCGCAGGTTTCTTTATGCCCTGATGGCCATACCAACAACCTGGGTTCAGTTTGTCCAAGGCAATTGACTGTATTAGCGGTGAGATGTTTCGGTGGTGCCTTCGTTTGGTTACCTTTCGTGACGTCATTCCCTTGTGAACAACAAGTTCAATGGTGTTTGTAATGAGCAGGTGGAAGCCTGAAATCATAGCGCTCTCAAAGAAACATTGCCAACACAATTGAAGTTCTTACATTCCTCTTATTTCCGTTGATGAGACATCCTTTGCTGACGTCATAGTCAGCATTCGGCCAACTGTGGTGGGCCGACCACAGCGACGCTTTCGATCGCTCACTTCGCCAATGCCTATGCAAGTGCCTTTTGCTTAAATTTTTTTCAAACATAGCATTAATAATCTTAAATTATAAAAAAAAAATTGTTTTTAGCAACTTTAAAAATACCTTTGAAAAGTGTTGGCTACTCCTATATTTTCCGGACTACACATTTTAGAAGTTAACTTTCTGCACTGTGTGGACAATTTAAAAGTGCAGACTCTACAAGGATCTACTTTTTCAAACTTGCTCGTTGTCAGCGCAGTTGTCACCACGTCTGATTGTCGAGATCACTTTGTTTCACGCTGGGCTTAACTCAACAAGTTGAGACTGCCAGTCTGCTGCTTCTGCCTGGATGCCCTCAGCAGGTAAGGTGCAAAGTAGCTGGACACAAGGGGTCAATATGGACCAAGCTGGATCTTGATTGCACAGACGTCCACTACTTGCAGTTGTAAAATCATAAGAGGTGAATAAATCACTGTGGAGTCTTTCAGGAACCACGGTTGCAATACCTCCCAAATAAAAAAAAAGCATTAATTCCTATTTTTAGTTCTTTTAGGGCAATATGAATTATAAAAACAAAAAGAATCATGAAAAGACAAATTTACATACATGCTGTTTTACTATCCAGCATGGAGTGCTATATGTCGGAGAACTAGTCACTTACCATTTTTATCGTCAGGAAAATTTGTATGAAGAGATAGTGCAGACTATGCACCAGGTGCAGGCTATCTAAAGAAGAAACACTTTCTTGAGCCAAAAGTTCCTCCTCGCAGACAATGGGTCTGGACAATATCTAGAAACACGGTAATCTGGATAGAAGAATATCTAGCCTGCCAACAAAATTTCTTAATATTTCTAGCATGTTGATCAGTGTTTCGCAAAACAGGTTTCCAGGAGCAAGCGGCTCCCCAATTTATCCCGAAGAGTTCCCCCCAGGTCTCCAAATTTTCTCGCACGACCGTACACCTAGTAAAGCATTTTTCTAGTTTGAGTTTTGCTGTTAATATAAGAAGTCGAGGATTTTTCAAGAATGAAAGATTTGTGAGCCTCTGCACTACACTCAAAACAGGTTGCAATGAAGGTTACAATAATATTGATATGGAAGTTAGTTTTACTCTGCAGAAGCTTAAAGGCACTAGCACAATCCAACTATAGACATTTTGTTTCCTGTCATTCTCAGTCATGTGGGTTTCGAATCTGGTATGCGGGATGAAAAAATAATAAAACGTTTCAACCTGTAATATGCGAGAAAAAAATAGGTGAGGCAAAACAAGAATATGTGACAATCACACATTTTTTGTAAAGACCTTCCAGCGGCGTGGAGAGATCAAAACAATGTTTTACCGCATCTCAGAAGTGACGACATTTAAGAAGGTTGTGCTTTAGTGGAAAAGGTGTATACTCCCATATAATGCCACTGGCCAAAGAGCTTCGTTGTCAGGGTGCAATATCAACGATATAAGCAGACTTTTTAAATCTCTCCCATTGTTATAGCGACATGTGAATTATGAAAAGCACTGTCCATACTATACAGAGAGTGACAAAGTTCTGGCACTAAGAAGCGATCGCTGGTACTTCCCAGTTTTCTCATTCAACTGCCAGCATAGTGGAATGCATAGTAATCTTGGGCAACGACCTAGCTTATAAAATTGATACGGTATTCATTATTGCTTGCCTCAGAAAAATGCAAAACTGTGCCGATGTGCTCACGCCGACTGTCGGGAATGCACACAATCAATCAGGAGGACTTTTTATGGCAATATGTTCCTTCTTTTATTTCCGAACTTCCTGTCAAATTAATTGTTATAGATATGTGAAGAGAGCTGCAAATGACAATGATGGCAGTTGCAATCTGCAACGACGAGAACATCAGCAGACGGCCGTCATCTCCTCGTACGCATTTCAACTTAGCTACAGATTTGCTGAAAATAATTGTTCTCTCACTAACTTGTCTTATTACCCTTGCACAAAATTTGACGTCTTTTATGAGCCCAGGTGGACCGAATTTAGTCTGTGGAGCAGACCGCACCTTTAAAGCTACAACTGCCCGTCACAAAAATAAGAAAAAGATGATGCCGAAATTGTTGCTGCTGTTATGCCCATTCTCAACAAAATGCGTGTGCATTTAGCACAGGGGCTCAGACTCGGCAAAGGATAGGAATTCCAACCTTGCAACAATCTGCATTCTGTTGCCTTCGGACAGCCAGTCTGATCTCCCGGATGCAGTCCCCAAGGCTTCCCTCGATCGCACGAATGGCGTCGTCGCTGTCCCTCGGTTTTACGTTGTCGCTTACGTTGTGCCACGGCCACTCTATCCCTTCCTCTCCTCCCGCGACGCGTCCTTGCAAGCGTACGAGAAGATTCATTCCCTCTTACGCAAGAGGGAAAATGGATGCAACGAGCAAACAAACGGAATGAAAGAGCACGGCGGGAACCACACCGTGCTTAGTCCAGTCCAGTTCAGGCCAAACCATGACCTTAGAATGAAAGACGACTGCACACACCAAAGCAATAAACGCTACCACATTATTATACTTTTTCAAATTGCTTCACACCTTTTTTGTGGTTTCAATCATAGAGTAGCTTTTCCTCTGACAAATCTGTGCTTCAACAGAAGCTTTCCGTACCATGCCGTCAAAATCCATCAACGCTGGTCGACGATTTGCAAGCCTCGTTGCAAAGCCTCCGATACGTTTCTGGACACGATACAGCACCTGGCGGCTAGAAAGACACTCAGTTGCAGTTTCTGTAGAGTTCTTTTTTCCCAAGAGACAGCGGTTTATTATAACCAAACACGCAGCAGACGAAGGACGCTTTGTGCCGCGAACATGGTATCTTCATCGTGTGGCACGCCTCCGCGGAAGCGTTTGAAGTACAGCCGCCGACCGATCTTTCAAACGCTAATAACTGGGACTTGTTCAATATTTCGGACCTAAAGGAGGAACCGCGACCTACCAAACAGAAATAGTGCATATTCACGATCAACGTTTCAAACAGCATGAAGAATAAAAGTTCGATTTTTCGGACAAAATTGTTGAGAGCAATCAGCGGGAAACAGCACCGAGAAGCCGCCATTATAGATTCTATGTTGGCTGCACATGAATTGGCTTGGTCCTACTCCTAGGTGAAGCCATGCTACGGCTTTTTTTCTTCTCTAGCTGCGCGTCATTATCATCATCATTGCTGCCATTTTACTTTCTTCATTCTCCATTCTGGAGGCGTGAAGTTGCACCCCTCACCTTGTCTCTGTGAACCATGTTTTTGGACTACGCTGGCCTGGACGTCACGGCACCATCTGCTCTTCTGCTGCCACAAAGTGTTGCTAAGAAGTGTGGAAACTACTCGACCACAGCGTTAGAAAAGGCAGGGATTCTCAAGCTAATAGAAAGTGCCGAATGCAAGCGGAGGCATAACCTGGAGCAAGGCACTATTCACAACTTTTTTAAGCCCGCCTAAACATAACGAAGGCAAACTTTCTAAAATGATGAATTTTCGGACTGTACCGTTGTTCGGACATTTTTTCGGCCCCTGCAAAGTCTAAAAAATCGGTCGGCGACTGTACTGCAATTTGAGGGAGTCTGCGGTCGATCTTGCTGCTGATACTAGTACAAGTGAGTCGGGAGGCGATGTTAGATTATTGAATTTCAGTTCTGACAGCGATGACCTGTCAAATAAGCTCTGAACATCCACAACTGCACATCGGTAAGGCTTGTTTCGGCTTCGGCTTTGGTTGTCAAATGTTCTCTGCTTGTGTACCGTCAAAGTCTGGGCAGTTTGCGCATGTTGGCAATGCATCTATCTGGTGGTTAGGTTAGACACACTAGTTTTAGTTTCTGTATACAGTCCAATCCAGTTATAACGATACCATGTATAACTATGTACTGCTTATAACAATCAGTTTCTAGAGTTTCTAGACTGGAAATGATCAGTTTCTAGTTCAGGTACGACAATAATAGGTTATAACGACTGAATTTCCAGGTTTCTTTCAATATCATTATTATTAAATTGCACCGCAGTTCTTTTTTTGTTTTGTTTTCCCACAATTTTTTTTTTTTTATAATCAAATGCGTAAAAAATGAAGAGCCTTGTTCGTGCGGCGTACCTCCTGGGAAACATTTGAAGTCTCGCAATTTGAGGGCTTCTGTGGTCAATTTTGTTGATGAGGCTGGCACGAGCGAGTTGTAAGGTGATGTCGAATCATCATAATTTAGTTCCGAGAGCAAAGAGATAGGGCTCGGAGGGGATAGTGCTCTGCGTTGCGAAGTGGGAAAAGGTGGAAGGAGCTTCCACTTCGTTCTTGACCTGTCACCGAGTACAGACTTTCTCCCCCTCCCGGAGGGGTTAAAGAGCCTGTGCAGCATGACAGGTGTTGAAATCAGACTGCTGGCTCCATTG